GATGCAAAAGTTCACAAGATATTATGAACTTAATGCATGTCTGCTCGTTGCAGAGCAAAACAATGAACTCTTGATGAAAAACCATGAATCTCGTCCAACGGGATTAGTAGCACTTCCTGAAGCAAATGCTACAAATATTGATAGTCATCGAAACAATACACGTGGACGAGGGCGTGGTCGTGGTCGAGGACGATGCCGTGGCTATTTTAATCGAAACCAAAGCCATAATCAGAACCATAATTCTGGTCGTGGACAAGGTAATAATTGTGGTCGTGGCCAGAAAAGGAATAATTACCAACATTCACAAAGAAACAATGTCCACATACAAGATAAGGCCAAAGTGGCAAGGCATGACACTGGGACATCACAAAAATCTGATGGTTCATGTTATAGATGTGGTAGCACAGGCCATTGGTCAAGGACCTGTCGCACACCTGCACATCTTTGTCAACTTTATCAAGAGTCCATTAAAGGAAAAGGAAAGGAAGCAAACCTCATTGATAATGTTGAATTCACTCTGCTAAATGTTGCCGATTTCTGCAATGACATGGAATACATTAACTAAAAAAAAAAACTGGAGCACAACACCAAGAAAAGATTGGAGATCTTTGTATAGCAGATAGTGGTAGTACACATACTATTCTGAAATCAAAGAAATATTTTTCAAAATTAATACCAACAAAAACAATTATACATACAATATCAGGTCCTGCAGACTTGATAGAGGGAACCGGGAAAGCCCATTTTATATTACCAAATGGTACAAACTTTTGTATAGAAAATGCCTTATTTTCTCCAAAGTCTAATAGAAACTTATTAAGTTTCAATGACATATATTTCAAAGGATATGACACAAAGACTGTAACCATTGAAAATAAGAAATATATGTATATTATAGACAAAAGTCATGTGCTTGAAAAGCTACCAACACTTGATTCCGGTCTGCATTATACATATATAAATATGATTGAATCAAATATGGTAATCGAAGGAAAACATTGTGATCCTGGGACATTCAGTTTATGGCATGATAGGTTGGGCCACCCAGGATTAACAATGATGCGAAGGATAATTGAGAATACACATGGGCATCCATTGAAGGACCAAAAGTTCCCTCAATCCAATAGCATAAAACCATGTATATCTTGTTCCCTTGGAAAGTTAATTATAAAACACTCTCCAATGAAAGTTGAAAGGGAATCACCAAGATTTCTAGAAAGAATTCAAGGTGATATATGTGGACCGATTCACCCTCCATCTGGACCATTTAGATACTTTATGGTCTTAATAGATGCATCCAGCAAATGGTCTCATGTTTGCCTATTATCAACTCGTAATATGGCATTTGCAAAGCTTCTTGCCCAAATTATTAAATTAAGGGCACATTTCCCTAATTATACTATCAAAAGAGTGAGACTTGATAACGCTGGTGAATTTACTTCACAAGCATTTAATGACTATTGTATGTCTGTCAGAATTATTGTTGAGCATCCAGTTGCTCATGTACACACACAAAATGGTTTAGCTGAATCACTGATTAAACGTCTCCAGCTAATAGCTAGACCATTGATAATGAGGACCAAACTTCCTGTGTCTGTTTGGGGCCATGCAATCTTACATGCTGGATCATTGATACGCATAAGACCAAGTTCATATCATGTATATCCTCCACTACAACTTGCTTTCGGTCAAGAACCAAATATATCCCATTTGAGAATTTTTGGGTGTGCAGTATATGTCCCTATTGCACCACCTCAACGGACAAAAATGGGTCCTCAAAGAAGGTTGGGAATATATGTTGGTTATGAGTCAGTCTCTATTATAAGATATCTTGAACCATTAACAGGTGATGTTTTCACAGCACGCCTAGCAGATTGTCAATTTGATGAGGCAAATTTCCCATCATTAGGTGGAGAAAAGAAGATCATGGAAAAGGATGTGTCATGGCATGAGCCTTCTTTATCATATCTTGACCCTCGCACAAGGCAATGTGATATAGAAGTTCAAAAGATAATGCATTTCCAAGAAATGGCAAATCAATTACCTGATGCATTTACTGACACAAAAAGGGTGACTAAATCATATATACCCGCTGTCAATGTTCCAGCTCGAATTGACATTCCACATGGACAATCTGATGATAAAGTCACTCAAGAGTCTAAAACACGCCTGAAGCGTGGAAGGCCATTTGGTTCTAAGGATAAGAACCCACGAAAAAGAAGAGGAGCAGAAAATGCACTAGATCATGAGGAAAGTGTTCCTGGAGAAACACGAATTATTCAAACTCCCCCAGGAAAAGAGGATGATGCACAAAATTATGGTCAGCCAAATAGAATATGTGACCAAAATGAAATTGACAGTATAAATGCAATATTATCTTATTCAGCTGCATGTGATATTATGAATGATGATCCTGAACCACAATCTGTCATTGAATGTCAAAGAAGAAATGATTGGGCTAAATGGAAGGAAGCTATGCAAGTTGAATTAAATTCTCTTAACAAGAGAAAGGTTTTTGGGAACATTATCCTCACACCTGAAGTTGTGAAACCATTAGGATATAGATGGATCTTCGTACGAAAAAGAAATGAGAAAGACGAAATTGTAAGATACAAGGCCAGGCTTGTTGCTCAAGGTTTCTCTCAAAGACCTGTAATTGATTATGAAGAAACTTATTCACCAGTAATGGATGCAACCACTTTCAGATATTTAATCAGCTTGGCAGTATCTAAAAATTTAGAGATGCGTCTTATGGATGTTGTTACAGCTTACCTGTATGGATCACTTGATAGTGATATCTATATGAAAATCCCTGAAGGATTTAAAATGCCTGAAGCGTTAAGTACAAAACCCAAAGAAATGTATTCTATAAAATTACAAAGATCTTTGTATGGTTTAAAGCAATCTGGGCGCATGTGGTATTATCGTTTAAGCGATTATTTGACAAGTAAAGATTATAAAAATAACACTATTTGTCCACGTGTATTTATTAAGAAAACAACATCTGGATATGTGATCATAGCAGTCTACGTTGATGATCTGAACATCATTGGAACGAATAAAGAAATCCTTGAAGTGATTGAACTTTTAAAGAAAGAATTTGAAATGAAAGATCTTGGAAAAACCAAATATTGTCTTGGTTTACAGATTGAGCATATGCCTAACGGAATACTTGTGCATCAATCAAATTACACAGAAAGAGTCTTGAAACGTTTCAATATGGACAATGTAAATCCTTTAAGCACTCCAATGGTTGTTAGATCATTAAATATTGACAAGGATCCATTTCGTCCATGCGAAGAAAATGAAGAAGTCCTTGGTTCAGAAGTGCCATATCTAAATGTAATTGGAGCTCTTATGTATCTTACCAATTGTACTAGACCTGACATTTCTTTCGCAGTAAACTTGCTAGCAAGATTTAGTTCAGCCCCAACAAAAAGACATTGGAATGGAATCAAACATATTTTTCGATACCTTCGAGGAACTAGTGATTTAGGGTTATTTTACCCTAACAATTCAAAACAAGGTTTGATTGGTTATGCAGATACAGGTTATTTGTCCGATCCTCATAAAACTAGATCTCAAACTGGATATGTATTCATGAATGGAGGTACTGCAATTTCCTGGCGTTCTCAAAAGCAAACACTTGTTACCACATCCTCAAATCATGCTGAAGTAATTGCACTAAATGAAGCTAGTAGAGAATGTATATGGTTAAGATCAATGACACAACTAGTTTTAACTTCATGTGGACTTGAAAAGGATATATGTCCAACTTTAATATATGAAGATAACTCAGCATGTGTCGCTCAAATGAAAGAAGGATATATCAAGAGCGACAGGACAAAACATATACCTCCAAAGTTTTTTGAGTACACTCAAGAGCTTATAAAGAACCATCAAGTTGAAATCAAATATGTTCAATCCAGTAACAATGCAGCAGACCTTTTTACGAAGGTACTTCCTACTGCAATATTCAGGAAACATGTTCATGGCATCGGAATGCGACATGTGCATAGAATATAATGTGACAGATGTCTAAATAAGGGGGAGTAAACTATACACTGCACTCTTTTTCCCTTCGCTAAAGTTTTTTCCCACTGGGTTTTCTTTAGCAAGGTTTTTAATGAGGCAGTACTTAAAGGTTGAACTCTAATTTGAAATGATGTCATCCAAGGGGGAGTGTTGTAAATAATTGAATGACAACATTTCCTAATGTCAAATGTGTAAGAGTTATTTTCAAATCTTATGATAAATATGTCAAATATGTGTAAGAACTCTTTAATTATGTCTAGTGATTAACTAGTATAAATAGCACTATCACATATGTAAAAGATACACCAATTTGAATACTTTATATAAGTTATCAAATTCTCTCCAAATCTCCTTTTTTTTTTCTTCTTTCTTAAAGGTTCTTAGTTTAGTTTTACTAATCTTCTTTTAATTACATCAAATTTATAACAGTTACAATTTTGTATTTTATAATGAAATATCATTAAATATTTAATACAAAGAATTAATTAATCATTAAATAAAAAGTATTTAAAGTTAAGATACATTCAAAGGCTAAAATGAAATATAATTGAAGTATAAAAGATTAAATATACAAAACGTACAACTATATTGGCGGCTCAAAAAGGATATATACAGTATCACTATATACTCCAATAAAAAAAAAAGAATAAAATATAATATAAGTTCTCTTTTTATAATGGTCTTAGTCCACTTAATGTATAGGCCCATTGTGTATTATTTTTTTTATGTATATCGGCCCATGGCCTCCATGATTGTACGATACCTATATATTTGATTAACCAAGAGGATATACTATCGTAGGAAAACATACAAATTGACAAAAACACTTTTCAAACTTTGTATCAATTTTTAATAAAATGATAAAAACTTTAGTTGTTTACATTAAACAAAAAAAAAAATTACTTAACCACCTTTTATAAAAAGAAAAAAAAAACATCATTTATGCATCTTCATGAAAACAAATATTATAAACCAAAGCCATCAATCGCCAACAATATTTCTCTTTCAACCAATTCGAACATCTCAAGTACCCGATCACCAAACTTGACGATTATATTCCGAGTTATTCGCTCCTCAAATTTGCAACTTTTGAGCCACACAACCCCAACATAAACATCACATGTGCACCATCCCGGTCTTCCATCCCTAACCTCGTACTTAACCTGAACCTGCATTTTCATATCCTTTATATAAATAATAATCTTTACACATATTTTATTTAACATTTAAACTACTTTTATACAATATATATATAAACCAACAAAACATAATAGGGTCTAGTGTTAATTGATACTTACATAAAAGTGGTCGCCAAATGGCACATCATGTAGACACATCGCCTCGGTTACAATCCACCCTTCCCCATGATCAGTGGTAATGGATGACTTTTGCTGCGTGCATGTGACATCACCTCCAAAACTCGACACTCTTCTATTAAACTTGTAGCATAAACGTCGCTCAAAAAGATTGGAATCAGTGGTTACATGTTCCCAATTTGTTGTATTGTAATTCAAACACGACAATTTTTCCATCACTTTGTGCTCCAAGTTTCCTCCTTTAAAAAACTCCATCACTGACTCCACCTATAAGTCAAAGTCGGGTAATTTATGTTTGTAAGCCTTATTTTGTTACACCCGACTAGAAACAAGTGGCCATTTTGTGATAAAAAGTTGAAAATAAAAGGTAGTCATTTTTTGATATCACATTCCCTTTTGGGTTGTTTTTGTGATTAGCCCAACAAATTAAATATCAATTTCTGTATGACCTATTTTGTCATGTCCTCTGTATCATAACAAACAATGCCTAAATGTTTTTTTTTGGGTACTCACATTAAAAGGAAGTTCTTTCGAGTAAATATTGGTCATTTTTTCATCTTCAACCACCAAATGGGAAGTAACATCTTCGTATAAACACTTCTCATCTTGTTCATGTTGTTCCCAACCGGTTTTCTCATGTCCATCTTGATCCGAATTCAATGATCTTGTTTTCCACAATGCCATAATAGTCCTGAATTTTACACAAAATTCATTCACACAACAGAAAATCAATAAAACGTAACATTGTCATTATTATGTTTACCTGTTTGCAGAATGAAACGACACAAAAGAATGGAAACAAAAATGGAGCCTTCCCTCTTCATCTTGAGACTTCGCACCATGTCTAGCATCTACACCTCGACCTTTATGCAGAACAATGACAAGTATTGGGCTCCCAACTGATGCCAATGATGGTGGAAGCACGTGAATGTCTTCAACATCTTCCCACAGGAATGAAAACCTTGTTTTGTGTCCGAATAAATTGGCGTAAAACCCGATAATTCTTGAAGATACAAAGAGTCGACCCTGAAAAAATGAGATTAGAAAAATTATCGTAGTAAGTAATGGGTTTGATTTGGTTTTTTTTGGTGGGTCCGGGTATACCTGAAGGGGTAATTTTCTTTTGAGAGAGCATGAGAAATCACTAATAAGAAATTCCTCTGGTGGCAAGCTAAAAAGCTTCTGGAATGTCGAATTCCTATGAGGTGACTTCACGTTTATCTGTTAAGTCGTAAACATAATTAGTAGTGATGTGCATAAAATCAATACAGAACTATTTGGTTTTTCAATTCAGAAAAAACAGAAATTCGAGGTCAATTTAGTCATTTGCTTTGAGATAAACTTCTTTGCTATTATTTAGAGTAAATTACACGAATGGTCCCAATGGTTTGGGGTAATTTGTGCGCTTGGTCCCTAACTTATTTTTTTAAACTCGGAAGGTCCCTACTGTTTGTTTTTATTTCGCGCTTGGTCTAATAGTATTTTTAGGTAAGACAGGAACCAAACGCGTAACAAAAACAAACAATAGGGACCTTCCAAATTAAAAAAATAAATTAGGGACCAAACGCATAAATTACCCTAAACCATAGGGACCATTCGTGTAATTTACTCTATTATTTATTGCCAAAATGAATCATCCGGGGCGACAAATACTTGAAACTTAGAAAAAACCTTTTTCCCTGCTTCTTTCTCGACTTTTGTCAAATACTCCTTGATTGTTTCAACTCCATTATTATTATCCAAAAAAATCCTTAAATGCAACTTCGATTGAAAAGATTGAGCAAGTTTTCCCTCGAGTGGGACCCACATGTCCGCTAATTCATCAGACGTATGTCTCAAGAATCTAATCTCCGCATGCCCAAGTGAAGTCGGTTGACCAAAAGGACCATCGAAGTCAAAAACTTCAACATCCAATAACGACGGGGGTTCTTCAGCAGCATCAAACTCGAGAATTTCTGCAAGAATTTTAGCAACCAATCGTCATCAATTTTCAAGAATCTTGATAAAACCAGTTAAAATTTTGACATCGAACAAACCATTCCATTGTGGATCGAGAGTTTGAAGCTTGACAGAACTTGTTCTTGTCTTCCCGTTACATGTCAACACTACAAAAGGATCTGAAAATCCCGAACAATCCAATGGAGCTAACTTGTTTCCCTCGATCAGTGCTACTGTAAGCACCCATCCTTCACCTTGAGCTTTGACGCCATGATCGTTTCCTGTCAACAATCAATTAGAGCATAAACATGTGCATAATCAATGAATTTTTGACGAGTGCTAAGGGGAAAACCCGAAAAGTTTACCTCTACTCAGTCTAGCTTGAACAAATCGGGAAACCATGATATAAACGCGCTCCAAGTTGAAGAAAATTACTCCACACGTAACAAATTCACCAAAACTATCAGGCAATTCAAGCCCTTTAAACTCTAAACCTTGAATCCGATTCGGTTCACATAGTACAATATGCACAAAAGCATAAACAACCATGAAAACAGTAGAAAGCACGGTGAAATTACAAAAATACCCCACTGCCAATTCCCAATCGGATTGGTGATCATTCCGCAGAGCCTCCAACGTTTGATCTTTGTCTAATACAGTCAATTGATTCACGGGTTTGACTCTTTGACCAAGCAATCCTGTAAATTGGTCAAAACTCTCCTTCAATCCTTGCTTAGCACCACCTTCAATCATACCTTTCATCATTGTGCTTTGATGAAAAGTAATCCCCCAAGAAATTGTAATCCTTGAGGTTTCATCTCCTTCGTGGTGGGGGCCTTGTGTTATTTTATACAGTAATTCAATTCGAAAGGTACTCCCGTATGGAACATCAGGTGTATTTACTTTTACAAGAACGCAAAATTCTTTCCTATTTGCTTTAATGTAAGTTTGTTCTTCTGTAACTCTGTTAGCTTTGACCAATCTTGTTGCAGCTTTTGTGTAAGTAACTGTTCGGGTCAAAGATGACATTT